TTTTTTTTTTTTTTTATATTATTCTGATTACAATAAACAGTTTTGATTCTACTGGTATAGAAGAGCGGATTTTGGCGCCGAGAACTGGAAAAATTCCCGGTGTGCCTGGGGTTCATCGAAAAAATTTTTTTTTTAACAATATTTAAATCAGGTGCCCATTTAACCGCCTGTAGAACGAATGAGCGTTAAACAGGTAGTTACGTTTTAATGTTAATTAGGTTCAGTTCATCTAATTTTGTGATAAGTTTGATCTTTACTGAGACGGTTAATAAATGAAATAAACGTTGGATGTAAATGAAAAATTCTACACAATACATTTCACTTTAATATGTATGAATAGTAGTAATGATGAATCTTGTAAGTTCTGCAGCATTAACAGCGACACCTGCTCACTCTGTTTTCAGGAATCTTTCTCCCTCGATCTCATTGGAGGGTTAAAATACAAATTAATCTTTCCAGGCCATTTTTAATCCCCAATCCACCCCTACTTCAGATCCACTTCCCATAAAAAAATGTGATTTCGTATGTACTTTTTGTTTTCTTAGCCGTGCCTGCAATATTAATCCGAGGATTCACGGTTTATAGCTCGTTCCCACAAAATCATGCTCAGTACTTTGGGGTCATGGGTATGCTATAAAAGTGGTAGTCAAATCTCACTATTTGTTCAAATAACAGTAGTCAACAGTTGGCGGTGGGTGCTGTTAACCAGCTGTCTTCCCTCTAGTTTCTCAGTTCAAATTTATAGGGACAGCTATACGTAGCTATGTGTAGCTTTGTGCGAAATGCTTCTATACATTTCTTCGTAAATGTAGGAACAAAATAATTCAGCAGTGGTTGAGTGAGTTTTTATTATCTTTCACGGAAGTGGATTCCTGATCTGATTGGCTAATAGCCAAGCCGTTATCTCAGACAATTTGAACACACATCCAGTGAATTCACACAGAGTGTTAACCACGACACGACCTCTGTTAATTTTCTCCGAAACCTCTTATCAGGTATAATTAACCAATCACTGAGCTCATTAAGTATCATCTTAAGAATAGAACACATTAACGTAGGCCTTCAAAAACAAGGATAATTATACGGACAAAACCAAGACTTAATTAACAGAAGTCTGGCTTTAGAAACAATAAAAAACAACAAATGAACAGAAGATATACTCATTATAGAGGGACCAATGGAAATTTTACACAAATAGATATGATGTCGAACGAACTGATGAATGTAGAATGAATGATACAAACTGGTGATTTATCAAGCGGTTTTATTTCGTTTGTTTAAATGTCTGAAAACTTGAACAAAGAACGATAAAAAAGGAGTCAGATTCGTTTTTAACATACAATATAAAATGATATAACGTCATGATTGGAGGAATATATATATACTAGAAACGGTTATGTGTTCGATACTTTCACAATTTCTTGCCAAGCAGATCAACGGGGTTAAATTTAGAGAATATAGGCACGCGTGGAACTCATAACGTCCAATCAGATCTTGTCAATTTCTCGTTACAAGCCGAATTATGTCCGTCTGAAGGATATATATATATATACATTATAAGTGAAGGAAACTCGGGCATCTTGTATCAATGTAAATATGCTCAACTTCATTACGAGTTTTGAGGATGCTACTTTCATAAGTGAAAGTCAACAAATACCATCCAAATTCTCAGCAGCTAAACAAGTGATATGCATGGAAAGGTCACAAAAAATGATTGAAAACAATTAGATCTTTATGCACAGGAAATTTTCGAGTAATTTGGATAATAGTAACTGAACCGGTTCTTAATGAGCTCATTAATGATTACTATGGAACACATTCAAACCGATAATATAAAATTAGGTGGTAGCAAGAAAACGTTCTTTCACGGCAGCGTTTTATTACAAGTATAGAAACAAACAAATAATGCAAATACATTCCATCGATAATGTAATAACGTTTCTGTCGACTTTTCTTAAACTTCTGTTGATCTAACCTACAAAGAAATATATAAAAATAATGATAATTTTACACAAAAAAGCAGTTTAAAATATTTTATATCCCTATTGGTTAAAATCAAATATATTGTACTCCTTTATATACATGTAAGTTACATACATAAATATATGTTTATATATATATAGATATAAATGTGTATATATACATATATAATACAACAACATGAGATAATCATTTAATGATTAAGACGGACTTACCTCACGTGGACGATATAATGCAGGATGGGACTGTTTTGGCTGTTGATGCTCGGAGCCCAAGAAAGGTTCACAGAACGTGAGGTAAAACCCATTACTAGGGGCATGCCAGGGGGGTCCGGAATGTCTTTATGAGAAAAGAAAAAGTTACATGTATTACTAGAATCACCTGAGGATAATTGACCTTTTTTTTTTCTTAAATCTAAACTGAAAACCAGCAGAAATCAAATTTAAGTTTCATAAACGTATGTTTTTTTCAGAACAAATTAAAATTGTAATTTTTTAATAGTTATGCTAATTGGCAAACAAAGCAAAAAAAAAGAAAAGAAAACTAACAAAATCTGAATGGGAAGCTTGAAAGTAATCATTTATATTGATAAGAAAAAATGTTCTTTCTGTGGCGAAAAATCTTTGTGTTAGCAATAATTCATGAGATTGCACTCGCCAGTATAAAATAAAAACAGCGTTCCAGATGTATAAACAAAGTAACGTATTTAAAACGAAATTAAGCCTATTTGTAAGTCAAAACATACTTTATTTTTTTCTTTGCAGCCCCTAAGAATCATTTATAAAAAAACACTTCCTTCATATGTGTATATATATATATATTTATTCTCTTATCATCGACTTGATTTAATTTCTTGAAATATTTGTGCAAACCATTTATAAAAGTGGATTTTTAATGGGTTTTTTCATATCGAAATCAATTTGAAACGACAGAATCCACTGTAACCACCAACTTAAGCTAATTTTGGTGCTTAAGTTATAAAATAAGAACAGTAAATTAAACTATAACGAAAACTGTCATTGTGGACTGCACTTTCTGTGGCCGAACTTCTACCATTATAGTGATTTCAAATAATATTTCAGATTTCATACTGTGTCCTTTATCAAGTCAAAAACAGACCTCCCCCCCAAAAAAAACAACAAAAAACAGAAGTGCACAGATAAAATACAGTCTACATCAGTGGCGTAACTGGTTATAAAAGTGCGGCGGACAACGTTACCCGTGCCCCACCCCCCGAGAAAATTATACCTATGGAATAGTTTGAATGAAGAAAAGCTGTTATTTTTAATCTCCCCAACTCAAATAAAACATCGTTTAATATATTCAAAATATTTTTACATGACACATGTATATGGGGTTGAATACATTATACTAAAGCAATATTGAATATGCAAATCAGCAGGTTACGTAACAACCACAACCGATATTAAATCGCATTGGAATGGAATGTATTAGATCTACATTTCGACATTTCTTAGGTAGTTTATGACACAGAATATTATCGCTTTTGGAAAGAGTATGCAACAGTCCTTTCCGATGCAAGCTATTAATTCATTCAACTCATAAAGAGGTGTTGTTCAGGTTGGTATTTTAGAATTTCCAAGACAATGGTATCCCTTGTACTTAACGGCATTGAAAAAAAAGGATTGTGGATCAACTTTGGGTTCAAGGATTATCCAGAAAGAGACCTAAAATAAGTCGTACCTGAGTCGTGGTAAGCAAAGTGCGTAGCCTTATAATAGCTTAGAATTCACGAGTACAAAGGTCAGTGGCGAAAGCCATCCACATGGTCTAGGCAACAGTAAGCAACATAACCAAGAAGGATCTCCTCTGGAAGAGAGAGAGAGGCACAAGTCATGTTTACAAGTCATACTTCTACAATATATCGATTTAACTGTCGCGTATACCTCAAGCGCTGTAGAATGAAACAGGTATTCACGCTATTCTTTACGAAAACATACCGGTCAAGTCGCCAAACGCAACGCGTTTAGACTTCTGTACAATGGGGCTGTTGAAACTGGCACTAGAAAACTGTAATCCATGTATACTAGATGGATTATGGAAAGCAAGCAGGAAAGAGTGGTGTGCTTTGGACATAATAACCTTATGGTGGAGCTCTTCGCAATGGAACTGTTCTGCAAGACTACTGTCAAAATGCGCTGTCGTTAAAGCATGACTAAAGGAGGCTATATGGACTGTAACGGCGTGGTGAGGCTCAACAATCATTTTAATATAATATACTTAATCTTATTATATATTTATAAAGTAATATTTTCTTACACAAAATTAATTAATATATATTTGTAAAGTTTTTTTTAACAAGAGAAGCAACAATTTTATAAATAATATGATGCCTTATTTCACATCGTACTTCGATAAATACTGTGATAGCGTATACCTGACGAAATAATTAATTATGATCCGTTTATGATGTAATTATATTGTCACAAACGCAATAAGAATATTCTTAAATTAGTTACTATGATTTAGTACAACGACTAAGTTTTTAATTTTTTTTATTTGCATAATTATCTTAGTGTCTCCCTGAAACAAAACAGCTGGCTTCGTGAATGTTTTTGTTAGTTTCGAACTTATACTCAGGAACCATATAAAAATTAGGGATGTGGTGATAAAGTGATACGATACGATTGTATTGATACATCGTCCGATACGATACTATTTATGTATCTTCACGAAATTTGGCAAGTTTTCACTAAATGTTATAAATATTTGTAGTAAAGTATTTTTGCTAAAAATTAATGCTTTAATATATAGAGTCACTGCTCCGAGTGTAAAGCGATTTTATGTTAAGATTAAAAATACTTTTCTCCATCTAAAAATTAAATTTCTTTTGTGTAATCTCTAAAACCTCCGAAATAAACCTTCATAACTTATCTGCTATATTCACTACTTTATTTTTAAAGTCGGTCAGTTTGACCAGCTTCGTAACCACCATAAAAATACAAAATACATCAAAATTATCCTTTCTAGAATTACTTTAAATTGTAGAAAGAAACTACATTTGCTTACACTAAATAACTTAAAGCTCTTAATATTATATACTTCTGTGTCTAATTAAATTTTATTGTTATGACTGTCAAACTTTGTAAAACTTCTGTGTCTAGATACACATCGTATCGCGGCATCAATATCTAAATACGTATCGTATCATATCAGCCCTAATAAAAACCGTATATGCATGACGAGGAGGCTTAGTTACAAATAAAGAAAATTTAATATCTATCGTACATATGCCCACGATTGAGAACTTATCTAGAGTAGAAAACAACAGAATCTATACAGAAAATGTATTTCCAACTTGAAAGGGGTTCTTGTCACTTTAAAGATGGGTATCATTTATTCTTCTTTTTACATAGACAGTTCCAAAAAGATCGTATGTATGTTACGGTGAATGTGCATATTTACTGGTTATTATGCAAAGATTATTTGGAGAATGTGCATATTTCCTGTTGAATAATGAAGTTTCGCAAAATAACCGATCACATTATTCAGTGGAAATTATGGATGTTAGCCATACAAGGTATATTATGTACATTCTCCAGTGATATTGGTTATTATGCATACTAACTGATGCATGTGTGTATTCTCCGTTTATGCATATATATATATATATATGTACATGTACATCAAGATTTCACAAACGTCTGTATGTTCCTGCTTATGACTGTCGAAAGGTCGAACCGATTGTCACCAAACGTGACATCTACGCTTAAGTCCTACACTGAGTGACATAGGGAGGCCGCGACTATATATCTGAGTCCCCTACCCCATATCATCCTGGGGAACCATATGTCTTCCACGTGCGTTGAATTGATATGTAAGCTTGCATATTTTGTGTGTATTAGTTTCTCTAATATCTGACGGAATATATATTTTAAGAAATTTAGACCTGTTTTATTGAGTTTCTTGCGAAAATAATAATGATGATTATATTTCCGTTATCGAACACATCTGTTCAATTCTCTTACTGTAACTTCCATTAGTAGACTCAAGACTTTGTCTGAAAGAAAAGTGGAAAGTTTCTCTTTTGCTATGCGCAAGAACTTATTTCTGGTTAATTTTGTAAAATTTAATAGTTTGAAGGCATAAGAATATAAAATGAACTGTTAAATTCATTCCTACCAGCTGGAAAACCTTCGATATAAGAAAAAGTGCAATCTCTGTAAGAGCATCTGCACGCTTTCTATGCTACAATGTCCATGTGGTCAATAACTAAAGAAAAGCAATAAAACAGCAAATGTGTTCTATAAAATTTCTTAGTAATCCGCCATCATCCGGCTTACTTTGAAAAAAACTCGACAATCTTAAATGTATATAGACATAATCAACAAGACTTACTGTATTTTACATTTTCTTAATAAATTTCGTATAAATACAACAAATCTATTTCCTTCCTTGATTTTATCATTATTCAAAGCGTATTAATATGGATATGACTTAATCACTTCTGATATTTTGGCTTCTTTCATATATTCGCGCAAAGTTATAGAAGGGCTATCTTCGCTAGCCAATAAATCATGACAGTTGTTTAGGTTTAATATCTTTCAAGCTCAAAAAACAAAATAAAAAAACTTTGGGGTCTGAAAGACAACCCGGGGTGCTCAGAAACTTTTGCTTCTCTTCAACCCCTGAGCTAGCCATCTCCAATTTTGAACTGATAAATTAAAGGGAAGGCACTTAATCAACAGCACGAACCGCCAACTATTGGGTTACATTAATTGAATAGTGGGATGTGACAGGCACTTTTATAAGGCATCCATGACCTCATAGTGCAGGGAGTGAATGTTTTTGCAGTAACAGGTGAGATGTGGACAATTGGATCAACAGTCCGACACGCTAACCACATCTCGAAGAACAATTCAATATCTTAAAGTAACATTAAAATCTTGGAGTTTATTAATGAACTCATTAAGCATTCCGTTTTATGTCGAAATTATTCGAGCTTAAAAAAAAAAGACTTAGTGCGCTGAATGGGCTTTCTAAAGTGTTACTTTTGTTTCTAGAACGCCGTGGACATTCTTATGGATCTGAGAAATAAAAGGATTCCCGCGGTCAAAGCGCTCATCGTGGACCATATCAATTTGGGAAAAGATGTGTTTGTTATCAACGTTACCGCAGTCAGAACCTCGGACTACAGCGTATTCATTTTATCTTTCATAATTAAAGAGTATATGAACAATATCAGTTGAAAATAAGATGGCGCGTGGAAAAAAACACACACACACTCTAGAAATCATCGTCAATTGGGGAAAAGCATTTCAAGTTTATTGTACAGCATAAGTAAGATATGCGTGTAATCTCTTTGTTGGATTGCATTACTAGTAAATTAAATATCTTACGACCAAATACCGACAATGCGTTGTCTTTCACATGTTTCTGGTTTTAGGTCCCCAGCGTTCTTATGCTAATTACACGTTTCATGCACATAACTTGTTTATTTGTAATTAAACACAAAGCTACACAATGGGTTATCTGTGCTCTGCCCACCACGGGTATTGAAACCCGGATTCTAGCGTTGTAAGTCCGCAGACGTACCTCTGTGCCACTGGGGGGCTCATGTATATAACAAAAACATGTGAAAACAATCAACTTAAAAAAAAGTCTCTTAAAGAATTAGGCCTAGTCATCAAAATTTTCTATTATTTGTATTATTGTTATGAACGAGCTATTCTATTGGAAATTAAATTAAGAACACTTTCTTATTATTAAACAGAGTGCTTACAATAGTTGTATGTTCCCTCGTCAGGATGGAAGGTTTGCCATACGTTATCGCTTGGAATGTCATGGGTGTTTAATTTATGTCAATAGTTCAAACTTGGAACTGTGAAGGTAATTTCGAGTATCTTTAACAGACTGATGAATACAGTGTGTTATATTTGATTATTGTTTTAAAGAAATTTGCACTTGGAATCTTATTTAGGTTAAAGGGACGGGGACTTTTATCCTGGCCGTTCAGGTTAAGGTTCCATTCACGTTGAATATACTTAATTCCCTATTTAGGTGAAATATTTTTATTTTATTAATAAAACTTGCTTTATTTGAACTTTGAAGCAATTTTGTTTTACTAAAAACAGCAACAAGATCTTTAATTTTAAGGTATAAAGGATTTTTAGTTTCGTCTTTAAAGCAATAAAGGAACCTTTAGCGTTAGTGGATCAACAGCAACAATATTTCTTACAACAAGCCAGCACGGTACTTTTAATGACTCTTTGCTTAACAATTAGGTGTTCCTTTTTCTGGCTTCTTCCGTCCACAAACATGATGTCAAACAAACTCTTACGAGATAAAAAATAGGTCTTTAGGAAAACTCGCCCTATCTGCACAAATTAGATCGCACGATAAGGAAAAACAGCTTATATTTCTGAGCATCAAAGTCAGACACTGATAAGAGAGTTACAACCAAAGTAAGATCTTCTCACGCTACCTTTTGCTGAACTGATGTTTTCTCAGGATTATTAGATTATTTACCAAGAGGAAAAGCCTGGGAGTTTAAAACGTTTCCAACAACCATTTAAACGTCGCTCGATAACCATTTGTCTTGTGTTCTTCGATTACTTTGGTAAATAGGTATCTGTAACACCCAACCACAAGGCTTGCCATCTCTCTTTCTCTTACAGGACTTGATGTCTCCTGCAGGAGTCATGTAACCCTAGACGCGTCATTACATTATGTGTTTCCATAATATGTGATGCAGACAAAATTAAACGAGTTAGTATGTATGTGAGTATTCTCTGTCTCTAACTCACTCTCTATATGTGTGTGTGTGTGCTAACTTGAGAATAATTAAAAGTATTCCATTAAATCTTCATGGTTTGTGATTCTCGCAGGTTTTTTATTCTTCGGAAACAGACGTCACATGTTTTTGTTTCAATTGTTTTAAGATTGAATATATTACTAAGTAAATGCATGTTTTCCCCCTGTAACTTCCGAATGTTGAACAATGTTGAAGAAGAACTGACAATAGATATCGATCCACTTAAATACTTCCACCTTCTCCACCTACTCACTTTTTAAATAATATATTCACGCAGCAACTCGCATGCCCTCCTACTTACGACCCACATTTTTCATTCTAGCAAATACCAACTTAATAACGTAAATGTTTTATCAGACATCTCACTGACTTATCTATTTATTGGCCTAACATTAAATAAAACGGATATTTTTGCGATCGTACATCCTGACTCATCTGTTGGTCCACCAGATATGTTCATTAATCCTTCTTCTTATCAAGTATTCAAATAAACAAGTCAAATTATTTATTCAATTTATATGCTTTTGTTCATTCGTCCTCTATCCACATTGAAATATATCTATCTGTCTGAGTGAAACAAAGATGGGAAAAACATGACTTCTAAATATTATTTTTAAACAAGCATAATTTACAACAAAGAATAATAGAAGTTTCTATTTTCTTTCTAAATAATTACAGATTTAAATATATCTCCGTAACTTATTATAACCATCACAGCTCAATATCAATACATCTTTACATATTATGTGCAATGATAGATATAATTAACTGAAAACAAAAAATTAAAATTAAACATACTACAACATTTTCTTCTTTTGGTATTTATTTTTAACTTTGCAATATACGCTGTGTATTATATGCAGTTATTCTTCCCATGTTAATTCATGCTGTGTGTTTGTCCATGAACTCCTCCAACGGTTTTAGACAATGGGAATAACAAAGGAGAATGGTCGATATAATGGGGCCCTGTGTATCATAAGGGGACACTTGAACCCCGTAGCGTAGGTATCGTATGCTAGTCTTTTTCAAATTATCTACGCTCTTTATATGCATATTGTAATTATATTTACATATACAGGCAACGCCATAAGACAGTAGTTCTCAAACGTTTCAGGCTCGCATAACACCTTTTGTTTAATTTTTTAAAATTACAAATTCAGGCCTAATTTGTTTTTTAAATATAAAGAACCTAGTAACAAAAATCAATATTTTTAACACTTACCCAATAATGTGAAGTGCGATTGTTTTTCTGGCACGATTGAAGAATATGTGGTGCCATTTTTGTCAATTTGAAGGGAAGAAAATACTGGCGAGTCTATGTAAGTAGAGGATGAGTCTATATGTGAGGAGAGTAGTATGTATATGTACGTGGAAAGCTCAGATAGGGCTTATTACAAATTTTATGATTTTTTAAATATTAATTGTATTGTGTACCACCGACATTAGCTCCACGTACCGCCAGTGGTACGCGTATCACAGTTTGGGAATCCCTGCCATAAGTAATTTGATACACGCTCGTCATCTCAACAGTTGTCAAAAAAATTTCAGTTTTGAAGTCATTGTAATCTAGACTGTATATGCTTTAGTATTACATTGCATTAATAAAGTTGCTAAGAGGGGACACGTTCTCTATGAACCCCCCCCCCCCCACGTGGTTTTGTGGTAAGTTTGAGGGCAAATAACGCCAAAAATGAGTTTCGTGACCCGCGATGGAAAGAGCACAGTTCGCCCATTGTGTAGCTTTGTGTTTAACAACAAACAAACCCGCTGAGAACGTGAAAATTGTTCTTTGAAGTAAAACATATAATCAGAATTGCCTCAGTAATTACGGCAAATATAACTTGCTAACAATATGGCGTAGGCCTTTCAATTTAATATTTCCTCCCCAACCCTTCCCCAACCATAATCAGAATTGCCTCAGTAATTACGGCAAATATAACATGCTAAAAATATGGCGTAGGCCTTTCAATTTAATATTTCCTCCCCAACCATAATCAGAATTGCCTCAGTAATTACGGCAAATATAACATGCTAAAAATATGGCGTAGGCCTTTCAATTTAATATTTCCTCCCCAACCCTTCCCCAACCAAAATTCGTAGCAACGCCTCTGCGTGTTTTTTTTTCTTTTATGTCTTAAAGCGAACTTATAACAAAACTACATTTTCTAGAATAACGTTTCATTGAAAAACAGGAGTGAGATGACTATCGTTGTTCCTTAACGCAACTTAGTTATTCTGAAATTCCAGAACAAATCCCGTTACTACAGTGTAACTTAATTATTACAACACAAGTAGTAACCAACATGTACTACAGTTTCCCCGAGTTTACCTTGATTTAAAACGAATTTTGGTATAGCTTAAAAACAAATATTTTTAATACAGATGTACAAAAAATATAAGTAAATAAAAATCTTTAACGAAAGTACTCTTTAAAAAACACATATTTTATACTACATGTAAAGAAAATTTTTTAAAATAAAATGAACATTCAAATATTAAATATTACTAAAAATATAATATGCTATATTATTACATACACATACTTTTCTGTAACAAAAGAAAATCAAAAACCAGTATTGAGCAAAACATCACAATCAAAAACTGATCTAATAGTATAACTTGGACTTTTAGTTGATTTCTATTTTTCCAAACTAGCACCAGCTTTTTTTATCGAGGGAGGGAAGCATAAAGGGGCAGACGTGATGTATGAAAAGGGATTAAGTGTTATTAAGTACAAAAGAAATATGCTTTTTTACCTTTAAAAAGTGTCTAGTTATTATTTTTAATTATAAAAAAAACTGAAATTACCTCATGCTCTCTCTTTACTTCACGATAGTATGATGCTGTTTCAAATTATTATAAAACCTAATACCCTAGGGCTCATCTGATTGGACAGTATAATTGCTCCGCTCGGTTCCTTCCCTCTATAACTTGCTTTCATGGCAGTGAGAGTCACAATATCTGGAGAACTCTGAAACCTTAAAACACTAAATAAATTGTGGTATCTTAGATGGGGAGGGAGATATAAGGTATAGAGCTCTCAAATGGAGGGGGATCTGTCCCCTCACGCCACCCCGGTGCATTCAACACTGACTAGTATACTTCCAATTATCTAACAACAAAATCAATAAGTCAATATTAAGTTAGATAATAATAAATAATTTCTATATGTTTATGGCTTTGTGGATATATTTTATTGTAATTTTATTCAAATTATTCTTACTTTATCTATCAAACGGTTTTCGTGTTTAATTAATTTGGTTTTCTTACGATTTATAAATGAAGCAAACACATAGAGAATGTTCCCCAAGTGAGTTACTATTTACAGTTAGGGGCCAGCATTATATTAAAGCTGTTCTAAGAGAAGAAAGTTGACATATGAGAGACTGTAACTAAGAAGCATTTCAAGAAATTTAAGATAAAATCCAGAACTTTACAAGACGGTATTATCCGGCGTATTTACGTGAAAAGAATTCATATAACTCAGACGGAGTTCTTCTGTATGTCAAGATATTGAGTCATACGTCTTGTTCAGTTTCAGCAGCAGCGAGTCAACGGACTTATAACGCTAAAAAATCGGGTTTGATAACCGTGGTAGGCTGAGCACAGATAGCCCATTGTGTAACTTTGTGCTTTACAGCACAGAAACAAAAGTTCCAGCAACGCCATTTGAAATTTAGTTTGGGGAGGGGGGGGGGAATACTTGCTAGATTCCTGGAAGCTAGAGTGAAAGTGCAATAAACTGTGCTGTGGCATGGAATTGTACTGTACCTTTAGAGCACAGTAAAAGTGTAAAATGTGTACTTTATTGTCAGGTTATTCTAATTTTCTTGTGAGGGAGCAATTGCCCTTCCATTCCCCCGTACAACTCTAGTATCTGTTCAACTCTCTTATTCTTATAGTACGTGCCAATATGACGTATGTGTAACGTGCCATTCTCAGCTGTTCCTGTCACGTTTCTATTCTGGTGTAATATCACTAAAGTTTCATATTCTGTTTTCTAACAAAAGCTTTCGGAAAATGCTCTTACATATACTGGAAAGAGCTATGAACATTTTATTATTTTCTCAGAGTCTGCTTTCATACAAAATAATAAATATTAAAGTGATTCGAAAAAGTGTTATAAAGCTTTTACAGAGAAGATGGTTATAGCTGATAATCTAAAGCAATTTGTTAGGTATAACGTGATAGGCCAGAGATCTGCAACTTTGTACAATTATTAAATTCCCGGATTATGCCTAAATCAATTTGTTAGCGATAACGTGATAGGCCAGAGATCTGCAAGTTTGTACAATTATTAAATTCCCGGATTATGCCTAAAGCAATTTGTTAGCGATAACGTGATAGGCTAGAGATCTGCAAGTTTGTACAATTATTAAATTCCCGGATAATGCAAAGACGAATGAATCAAATATATATATCATATGTGTGCCCCCCTCCTCAGAGGTTCAGCAGTAAGTTTGAATACTTATAAACTTAAAAACCAGGTTTCGATACTCGTGGTGGACACAGCACAGATAGTCCATTGTGTAACTTTGCGCTTAACAACAAACATACATTACATGTGTAACGAATTTATTGTTATGTATTTATTTTTAATATGAACGTTGTTTAGATTAAATTTGTACCTAAAAAGATACTTAACTTATAGTGTCAGATATGTATCGCGTATAACGAATTTGTAATATATTTATTTGAATGACATCGTTTGTTTGGAATGAGTTTATATTTAAAAACGTGCCTAGCTTACAGTGTTAGTTACGTATGGCGAAACCCCCGCTAATTCTTCAAGATTGTAGAATATTCGTGAACAATATATCGACAATATATCCACTTCCGTAACTGGTTAAATATAGCTAGTATTGTTGTCCAAACTTTCGAGAAAGACATTTCCCGTCCATATAAAAAGACCAAGGCCAAAGAAGAGAGCTTATAAGTCTGCTAGGAACCTGTTAAAACCATGTACGCTATAAACCGTGATTTTGCTAACCCTTATCAACTGGAAAATTATACGACATTTGACCAGGAAAAGTTATAAATTTCGAACGTCAGTGGATTCTCATCGGACGTTAGTATCTATCCGAAGCTATTACTGAATTCTCATCTGACATTAGTGGTTTTATGAAAATATTATCTTACTTCGACGATCCAACAATTCAGTGACTGACAAAGCTAGCTAGCTTCTCGACAATTGTACGTACATCGACTTTAAGTTAACTCGCTGGTTATCAAGGAGACTCTGAACTAGAAAAAACATTTTGTGTTGTTTGTAAGTTAGTGAAATTTTTGTTTCATAAAACTTTGCTTGTGGTAACTATTCGTAATAATTATTGTTGTAAATTGTACCGTTGTGTATATATATATATATTAAAACGTATTTGTGTGAAAAACGAAAATGGTGTGTGTCAATCTTGTTGGCAAATAGCGTAAATTAACTGAAATATCGGCTTCGGACTATTTTAAATTCTCAATACGTTACACATGTGACTCGCAATGTTTCTAGTATGCTACAAATTCAGAAAGTACTAATCAACAGGGGCCGGATGTGCCTTACTAGTTAGCGTGTTCGGTCTGTGAATTCGAAAATTTATGGTTCATGATCCGTTGCCGAAAAAACGCTCTCCGCACTTTTTTGGCATTGGGTATTCTACAAGAGTGACTATCAAATCCTACCCTTCGATCAGACAAGAATAGCTCTACAGCTGATGGTAGGTGCTATTGACCAGCTGCCTTCCTTCTGGTCTATCAGTTAGGGATGGCTATACGCAAATAGCACTTGGGTAGCTTTGAACGAAATTCTGAAATAAAATAACCGAAAACATCAAACAGCTATACGATACAAGTCCAGAAAGTGACTGACATCAGTACATACAAGTCCAGAAAGTGACTGCCATAAGTACAAAGTCCAGAAAGGAAATGCCATCAGCACGTACAAGTTCAGGAAGTGACTGCCACCAGCACATAAAGTCCAGAAAGGGAAGTCCATCAGCACATAGAAGTCAAGAAAGTGACTTCCATCAGCGCATACAAGTCTAGAAAGTGACTACTATCAGCACAATGTAACTAGAAACAATAAGCGCACTAACGAACACAAAGCTATAATTAACAACAACAACAAAGTATTAGCAAACAGCGTGTTGTAACTCCTGAAAGTTCGCGACAATTCTAGAAAGTATGAACAGAAGGTTATAACACTTTCCTAAAAAAAAAAGTACAAAAATTCCCACTTCCCGTATAGTACAACAATCCTCCAGGGGCAAAATTTTCACCTACAGCG